GCATAATATTTGAATAAATAATAGTCTTGAATTGATGAAGATGAACTCTCAGATACAGAAATCTTAGTAAGTCCTAAGAAAGATAAATAAAATAGAAATCCATAAGATGTATCACTGAAAAAAGCACTTAAGCTACAGAGAAGAAGGTCGAGCGTGATGGCACACACCTGTAATCCCAGCACTTGGGAGGCCGAGGTTCAACAAGAGCTCCAGGACATCCTGGGCTACATAGAGAGATTGTCTCCAAAAATAAAAATACAGAGGAGTCAGGCACTGAAGCACTTAGGATACAAAAATGATTATGCAGAAAAAAAAAACTCTGAGAGGCTGAGGCAAGAAGTTTACAAGTTTGAATCCAGCCTGAGAAACTTAGTTTCAATTTTTTTCTTTTTTTTGGCCAAAATGAGTATTGAACTCATGCCCTTGCGCTTGCCAGGGAAGTGCTTATGCCACTGAGCCATCTCCCCAGCCTTCGAAGGACTTTCTTGAACATGCATCTTTTAAACAACAGATGTTGTATTTCTAGATAGCCACCATGAACATAATTATAAATACAAAAAATACAAAGATTATCCACTTCTGTAGAGTTAAAAGTTGATTTCGAAATTTCGCTAAGAAGCCTATACCAGGTTACAATTCTTCCAAAGGGCTGGCTTCCTATACTGTCCCCAGAAGAGTCATTAGCAAGATGTTTGTGGGGCCGGGGAGATGGCTCAGTAGGATAAGCGCTTGACTGGCAAACGCAAGGATCTGAGTTCAATCCCCGGTTCCGAAAAAAAAAAAAAAAAGATGCTTGTGAATCGAATAGTTCAATGTGGGACTGTTGAAGTTACAGTGCTGGCCACCAAACCCCAGCTTTAACTCCAGGCAAGTTAGCTAACCCTTTTGTGCTTCATTTTTCTAAGAGCAATTTTATTGCTCATCTCAGACAGTGATTATGAGGATTAAGTGAAATAAAAGCTGGATTTTTTTTTTTTTTTTCGGAACCGGGGATTGAACTCAGACCCTTGCACTTGCCAGGCAAGCGCTTATTCTACTGAGCTATCTCCCCGGTCAAAAGATAGCAAAAAAAAAAAATTTTTTTTTTGAAATAAAAGCTATAATGACTTTTTAAAAGTATGAAGCAGGGGCTGGTGAGATGGCTCAGTGGTCTAAAGCACCTACTTAGAACAAGCTTAGCAAAGCACAGGGACCACAGTTCAATCCCCCAGCACCACATGCCAGCCCACCCCACCCCCTGGTGGGCTGAACTGGCCACACACACACATACATTAAAAAAAAAAAAAAATTAAAAAAAAAAAAGTATGAAGCAGGACGGTGAGATAGCTCAGCAATCTAAAGCACCTGCTAAGCATGCTTATCAAGCACAAAAATATTCAAGAATAATTTCCGCATTACTATTAAATTGCTGAATTATTGAGCAGAACACCTTTTTCTTTTTTTTTTTTTTTTTTGGTACCAGGGATTGATCTCAAGCCCTTGCCCTTGCCAGGGAAGTGCTTATTCCACTGAGCCATCCCCTGGCCCCCAGAACACCTACTGAATAGATGCCCAAGACACAGTACTGAAGAAAACATCTTTTCTGATATTTGTTTTCTCTTGGTTTTTTTTTTTTTTTTTGTTTTTTTTTGTTTTTTTTTTGGTGGATCCGGGGATTGAACTCAGGCCCTTGTGCTTGCCAGGCAAGTGCTTATTCTACTGAGCCATCTCCCCGGCCCCTTCTCTTGTATTTTTTAATCTATGAAATATCAATTGTAATATATTGTTGCTTGTAGAACAAAATGTTAAACATTCTCTCTACACTACAAATATTCATACTTAAATGTCAGATAAAGACAGGAACATTAAAGGAGGTGGTAAAGGAGGTTTCTACTATTTTCTGGTATCTACGTATTTGTTTTAAGCTCTTGTCATCTTTTTGTGACTAGAGGTTCTGAAGGCAGGAAGCTGATAGGGTGATGGCATGATCTTCAGCGCATTGTTAACACAGCGCCCTCTTTACAGGAAATAACTTCAAGGAGGAATCTGCAGCCCTCTTATGCCAAGCCCTGTCGGTAAGGGGTAGCGGGTGCTGCTGAGTCATATGGGAATGTTCCTGAGCGCTTGGGTGAGCTGAAGACTGCTCTGGGCAGAGTGAAACAAGGCCACTCACATAGTTTTAAGAATCTGATGAATGTTTGGCCTCTGCCAACTCCAGCAAAAGCAGCAGCAAGCGGTAGGACTTTCAGGATGGCACCAAGTTTTCCCAGCAGCCATTAACTACTAAACAAAAAGTTAACGAAGTGTTAACTTTAAGGTAGGGGGTGTAAGGGCTGAGGATAGAG